GGTTAAGGCATGGCGGTGTTAGTATCATTAATACCTTCATGGTTAAGGCTCTTGTTTAACGTTCAAAATATATTTATAACATTACCGCAAGACAGATAATGGATAAATAATAATAACAGTGTTCAAATAGGCAAAAGATGCATTGTTATTAGGACTATTATTTATCTATTTTTATCGTTTATATCGTGTTTACACTGATACGCAGCAAAATTAATTTGAATATTATATCTAATTTTTATTTGCAATATCAAGGACTAGTGCTGTCTAATACGTATGCGGATGAATGTGAAGAATTAGATGCCTTAATTGGATTGTAATTCTCTACAAAACCTCAATGGCCTAGTTGGTTAAGGCGTCACCATAGAGAGCAGAAGGTCCCGGGTTCGATTCTCGGTTGGGGAATATATTTTTTCACAATCGAAGATTGCTCTTCTTTAACGTTTGAAATGTATATTTATAGCATTACCGCAAGAATGTATGTAACTTTAAAGAAGAACCTGTACATTGGCACTTTAAATTCCAAAAGAAATGTATTTTGGAAACTAGCGTGCCTTATGTCACTTTTGTTTTGCTGTGTGACAGAAGAAAGTCGAGTAGCGTTTTCTTTCGTTTGCACTAAAACCTAAAACGTAGTTAGAGAACAATAGAGGGGGTACATTTTATTTTTGTGTCTATCGGCACGCATGGTAAGATGTTACATAAATGCTAATTATCTTTTATATAGTGGGTCGTAAGTTTGTACCACAAAAAAATCGGATCGCTTACCTTATTTTGAGAGTATTATAATGTCCATAGTTAACACAAACATTTTTATAGGCCTAATTAAAAAAAATTATTGAAAAATAAAATCCTACTTGAAAACATAAATAGCATAATGTAAGTGATCACACTGTGTCGTCGATTAAAGAGCATACCATTTGATAGAGGGGGTTTTCTTCGAGATGACTCCTCCTCGAGATTAAGCCCATTGGGTTTTATGGTATTTACCGGTATACAGTTGTCTCAGATCACATTCACATCAAAATTTGAGTCGAAACGTTGTAGGCCTACTGTGGATTATTTTTGGAAGGTACATTATTATATTCCGTAATAAACGGAGCATGCATGGTATTACTTAATACGTTATGAAAATTAAGTCAAGATATACATGTACATGTAATACATGTATTAAGCAATATGTCAGATACAAGCAAGTTGGCTGTTGCGAGTTGTTAGACTGATTTTTGTTTGCTCGAAAAAAAAAACATTTGCACGGAAGCTTTAGTTAGGGTTTCAGTAGAATAGCAGACTGCTGGATGGTTACCTCATTAAATAGAGTGCAACAAAAATAAATAAAATACTTACAGTATAAAATAAGAAAAAGGTTCTGGCTGGTTTCCTTGATTGACTGACCTAAATTTCCCAGGTGGTACGAATCATTATTTTCCTTCTTATTATTTCGTATGGTTTTAGATTAAACATGACAACATAGGTATACAAGTCTCCCTCCAATTAAAGACCATTGGTACTGGGTTTTGGTGGTGTTTAGCATCTTTGGTCTCTAATTAGAATCCCTCTAATTAAAGACCGGTATTAAAAGTGGTCGTTATAATTCCATTCAATTCAGATTTATTCACACACTGATTGAATACCTTCCTTATTGGGATTTTTGATTTTGGCTAACCATCCTCAGTGGTGGATCTTGGGGGTGGGGGATAGGGTAGCTAGCCACCCCCTCCCCCTCCCCCCTTCGGTGACCTCGAAAAAAATATTGTCACTCGCCTTGTGAATGTGTTTCTCATGTATACATGTTACATGTAGTAGTACTCTCGTAAAACATACATTTTCTATTTTAAGCTTAACTTTTCAGATGTCATCCAAGAGCGTCTAGCGGTCTACTAATTCCAAAAAAATCTAAATGGAAGAAGATGCCTCTCCCCAAAACTCATGATCAAGGGGAGACAGAGACAGGGTGACACGTCCCCAAATATTCTTAAGGGTGGAGGGAGGGGTTGGTCCCCTCACGTTTCGTCCGCAATGTAATAATTTCATGCCTGAATGCCAATTGTTGAAATGAACTGCATAAATGACCAAGGTTTTAACGAAAGTGTGCTGTACAACCTGTACTCTTTCTCTGCCCACAAACATCTGAATTTCTTATAATACACGACTCGAGTGCGCGTGCCTTTATTATAACTTAAGAAGTATGAGAAAAAGCGTGTAATAATAATAATAATAATAATAATAATAATAATAATAATAATAATAATAATAATAATAATAATTGATTGGATTTCGGCACATGGCAAAGTAAATTAAAAATATATTAAAGGTAATTTTATTTTCAATGGAACATCACAGCGATTAATAATTTGATCGATAATGATTAATTTTATTATATAATAGTGTCATTTCCAGCAATCTAGAGGAACTATTTCCCCAAATGTTACCACCCCAGCCCTTAACTATGGTGTGGACTAATGGCTTCCAAGTAGGTAGGCCTAAATTAAATACATCAAATACAATGTTTTTAATATTTATTTTCTATAGTACATCACACATATTAATTACCGTAGGTATCTATCGTTGCCGAAAGTCGCTGGAAAAACATCATATGAAATTTGTTGGCGCTTCATTTTGACTACAAATGGTGATGTGATGACGATGAACTTTACTATATAGAAGTGTCATTTCAGGTCATCTAGAGCCAATATTTCGGTAAATTTTCGCTCACCAAGGTGTCCGTCTCACCTTTCGAAACAGATCTGCGCCCTTGTCAAAACCACGCCCCCACCCCCCTACTTGGTGCTTCGCAAATCGCATTATCCACCTCCATTGCTAAATCCTAGATTCTGTGGTCGCTTCTTCATATCGACTTTGTAATGATTTCGCAATCTAGTAGGATACCCCTTTGATTGCTCAGAATAAAGTCAATTTGGTTGTGAGCCCTTCCACTTGGGCTTTCCCATGTCCAGTATCGGGTTCATCTTTTTCTTGAAAAGAGTCAGTGGCGGAACTAAGTGGGGGAAGGGTGAATAGGGTGACTAGTCACCCCCCCCCCCTTCGGTGACCGTGAAAAAAATGGTCTCTCGTCTTGTGTATGTGCTTCTCGTGTATAGGCTACTCTCGTAAAGCATACACTTTCTATTTTAAGCTTAACTTCTTTTCAGATGTCATCCAAGAGCGTCTAGCAGTCTACTAATTCCAAACAAATCTCAATTGGAAGGGGGGGCCCTCCCAAAACCCATGATCAATGGGGGACAGTGGAACACGTCCCCAAGAGGTTGGTCACCTCACCTCACTTTTCGTCAGCAATGTAATAATTTCGTAAGTCAAGAAGATGCCTGAAAATTGTTGAAATGAACTCCATAAATGACCCAGGTTTTACGAAAGGGTGCTGTACAACATGATGGGTGTGGACTCACGAAATGTCCCCCTCACCTTTCGAGAGAGATCTGTGCCCTTGCCAACCCCCCCCCCCCCCTTGGTGCTTCGCAAATTGCATTATTCAACACCCCTTCCCCCACTGAGGGTGTTGCCGATACATAGTTGTCCCCACAATGCGAAATCAACCAGTCTCTCTTCTCGTATATTTTGTTGTCCCCAACCATAGGGGCCCATAGAGGATTCTTCGCCTTGGTTACTTTTTCCTATGGTTGCGTTGAAATCTCCCGAAAGTATTAAATATTTTCCTTTATTGTCATCTATCGCTTGAAAACAATTCCTGTTCTTCACATGTGGACGTTGGGGCGTATACCTGGACTACGGTAAACTTTTCTTCTTTTTCTCAGTATAGGACTATTCAATGGATCACTGTATAAACGAAACATCATCTTAAGTTGTGTATTATTTTGATGTGTATATTCATATTATCATAACTTTTATATTTTTAAAACTGCATTATATTCTTTATTTGAAGGGATTTTGATTTGTTTAGTTGGGTCTGCCAAAATGATAGGCTATATGAAAAACGTTCAGTTTTGTGCCAAAACCATCTATCTTTGGTGCCCAAGGGCCTGGTTTCTACTTCCGTGAAAAAACCCGTTTTAAGATCCGTTGTGACTGTAGAAACAGAGCCCACAAATATAAACCGTTCTTTTGGCGTCCCAAAACGGTTCTTTGGCACGTAATCAATACCGTTCCGGGAACGCCAAGGAATTATTTAGTTTGCGTAAGTAATCAGAATCGCACGAAAAAAGAAAGAAGCCGATGTGCTTCTAATTATAGGCGTAGATTTTGACAAGAATTCCAACTTCAGAGTGGAGCACACCCCTGTCCGCACAAGGGCACACATTGGCGCCAACACCAGGCGCGTAACAGGGGTCTTGGGTCAGAGTGGGTACGGTATTTATTTTCCCGGTTAGTAATTTACCATACCCACCCCACCCCACTCCTCATATATAAAACAATACCAGATAGGGCTTATCTTATTTATATTAGGCCACACACGTGTTTGAAACTAAATATAAGCATTTTCATCATGGTTTTATTTATTACAAACATATTCTTTCACCATCAATATATATTGAGGCCCTTCTTTTCAAACGATCTATCTTAAATTTGTGTTTTTTGAGTTTGGGACTATTATTAGGCCTATTAAAAGCCCTAAAAAATGCGCGCTAAGCACGCAAAATATTTTTGTGTTTTTCACTCTGATTTCGTCGGAATTGATGAAAACTCCCTAAAATGTGCAATTTATAGTGGAAATTGGCCTACCGTAACAAGAAATACGAGCAAAGAATTTTAGAATTTTAGGCACTTTCAGAGGATACATTTGTCAAGGGGTGGGGAAAGATTTTCCAAAGATGGATATTTTCCCTTGTCCCCCGGTGTTTTTAGGCACTTTCAGGGGATGAAAAGGGTATTTATAAAGGGGTGGGGAAGATTTCTCAAAGATAGATATTTTCCCCTTGTCCCCCAGTGGTTACGCCATCAGGCAACATAGATCAAAGGAGTTATGACAGTTGGTTGCAGGGTGTTGTGAGTCTGGTCATTATGATATCTTCCTTTTTATTCTTGTCTTTATTTTTCTCTTCTCTTTTTCTTTTTCTTTCCTTTTCTTTTATTCTTCTTTCTCTTTCCCTCCCTCTCCCCTCTTTCTTTTCTCTTATTACCCAGCCCGGTACGAAGACTTGGTCAGCCCGGTAAAAACCATCAGGGGAGGGGCAGTTTCCCCCTGGCCCCACCCCCTCCCGCGCCTGTTACGACACTGGCTAACACGCCAATCATCCCCCAATGAAAAAAACTTTTCTACGCCATTGCTTCTAAATCAAGGATATGCCTATGGGCTTCTTTTCGATAGTACATTAGACTGCCTTAATGACATTGTATTTGATGATTATGACGGCGTGCAATGTATCAGTATTATTGTAGCATGGTTAAAATTAAATTCCGGCACGATTATAATCGAATGTGGTTATTTAATTTGTAGAAGTCGTTTAATGACGAATGTGCATCTTTTTAGCTAGCTGTGTTAGTTCGAAGCTAACTCCGGCGTAGTATGAATTCATTAGAAGATTGAAAACATTAACAAACATTAACACCATTCATTTTGAAAAGGAGCCGCCCCCTCCCCCTCTCACCCGTTTAGTTTGTAAAAGTAATCTCGAAAAAACCCCATCTTGTAAAGAAGACTATTTAAGGTTTAACGGTAGCTATAGTTGTCTCAGATGTGATCAAGGTAATTCAACAATCGTTGTGATATTCAGGTAAGCATCAGTAGCGCCCTCAATATGGTGAAATTGTCATTGTATTGGAGTAGTGAAGCGGTGATATTTATTGAGGCGAAGATCACAAAAGAAATTTGCATGATTTTGTACGAAACCGTTCCGTTTTCTTCCGTGTATGCGATATAATCAATGGCGAATGTAAGTTTAAATAATCTGATCATTTATGTCAAATTAATAATTCACTTTAATGTATGTTTTTATGGTTAATTAAGAATGTCATTTATGATGTGTGTATGTTGGGATATCTTGTTTTTGTGTCTGGGCAGGTCAGCCTAGGCATAGGCCTAGCTTGCCTAGCCTAGGCCTAATGCTGCTGGTCTGGCCGTGCAAAACGAAAACTATTAGGCTTACAGTAGTCCTGATGGTAAGGCCTCTCGGCCCTAGGCATAGGCCCCTACTCTACTAGGATAGGGTAGCCTGCCTTGTACCTCTGCTTATAACCAGGGGTAGACCTAGGTATACTGTGTGTAGGTCTATGATTAGAAATTAGTCTATCCTAGGCCTAGGTTATTTGTGTTTTTAATTCTCCACTGAATCCACAAAGGAACACACAAATAACATTTAGGCCTATAGGCAAATATTAAGGGCACATACGCATAGAAAAAATTATTAGATATCATTATCACTCTCTTTAAAAAAAAAAATTGATGAGGGTGGGAGGTTTTTTTTCAACGATCCGATCAGCCCACTGGCCGGGTCTCTTTAGGGATGGACCGCATTGTTGCATATTTTTAGCCACAGCTGTGGAACACGCGAGTCTTCACGCTGTGTATCAACGATCCGATCAGCCCACTCAGTGGGCGGGTCTCTAGGGACGGACCACCGTGTTGTCTATTTTTAGCCGCAGTTAACGAGCTGTTTATTTTTAGCAACAGTAAACAACAAGAATGGGCTTTGCATTTTCAACTTTACTGCGATCCCAGTGTCTGATCTAAACAATTGGAAGAGTTTGAAGTCTGCTGATATCGGAGCCAATTCCTTTATATGTTGTGAGCATTTCATAGTTACCAACCGTCTCGCATCGTGCAGGACGGTCCCACATTTCAAAGTGATGTTGATGAAACACGCATTTTGCAGAAACACATACATGATCATAAATTTGTCACGCATTTACTACAAGTCTATGCGTGATAACAAATTCAGGGGAAAATGTGTTTTAAATTAGAAGAAATGGTTTTATTAAGTATATAAAGAAGGTCATGCAGTAGCTTGAGTCAGTACAGTAGAGAGCTTTCGTTATCTCGTTCGAGAATCAGTTCAGCAGGGAAAACTTCTCTTTCCCCACCAAAACAACCCAGCCAACCACGCACTTAGTACAATTTAGTCACGTGCGGTCTTGCACGTTCACTGTCACAACCAACCGTTGATGTGACTAGAACCGTCCCACACCGGGGTTCCGCCCCTGGAAACCCAGGGCCCTGGCACCCACTCCCCCATTTAACTGGTGTATTCACGCATTTCAAATCTCTCAGGTAGGTAACTATGACATTTGTTTTTTGCGAAGTTGTTTTTATGCAGTTGAAATGAATGATGCGACAAAAAATAAATATAAAAAGTATAAAATTATTCCCACATCAATATTCCAAAATGTTTGATGCGGACCAAAGTGATAAATCTAATAAATTTTTCTATGTGCCCTAAAGAATTGTTAAAACTCATTGGATATTTTTCAAATGGTAACGCAATCTAATGTATTGATTGGTGGAACTGCTGGGTTCACCTTATTGTTAAAACTTCAGCCTCTTTATCGCTGGGTTCGCAAGTTTAAAGACATCCCTTCCAGGAGATCTGTTTTTTCCCTGTACATGGTGATAGCCATCGGCACTGATTTCTGTGAAACAATTGATAATAAAGTAGTGAAAACATGTAAATATTATGAATTTACGGGAGATTGGTTATTTTCCCAGAGATTCTTGCTTGCGTGTGGGAGGCCACCCTATTTCCGAGACACTCCCACTATTTCAAGCAGACTTGGGACCCCTACTCGTAATTCACTAGGGCATGTCAGAACAACATACATTTCCTTTATTAAAAAAAACACAAAAAAAAAATAAGCTAAATAAACAGTTCTTCCTACCAATGTACCATACCATACAAAATAGGTATTTTGTTACAAAATAGGTATTTTGTTACTGTAGGTGGGTAAATCAAGTAGAAATAAATAGGTTTACTTTTAAAGAAGCTTTTACAGTGAAAACAAACTGTTCTAAATTCATTGTGTTAGGGCTGAAACCTACAGTAGGCATTTCAATTGCTTAGTTATTAGCCTTCAGTTCATTCCTAGACCATTTAGTGTTCTCACAAACTTCTGTTTAACTGGAATTATCCAACTTTAAGGGCACATAGAAAAAATGGTTAAATTATCACTCCTTTCGCTTCGCGTCAACAATTTGGTGTGGGGATAAAAAACAATTTTTTTTCGTTCATTACTTACTTCAACAACATAAAACAAAAACAATGCAATTTTGTGACTAGAAATACATTTTCTTTAAAAAACAATGAAATTGAACCAGTTTTTATACAATATTAAAATATTCTTGCCAAATAAAAACAGTCCATCCCTCATTAATAAAATTAAAAGCAATATTCTATTGTTCTGATTAAATTTAAAAAAAATAATCTTAATAATTTTTTCTATGTGCACGAATCCCGCCAATTGATAGAATAGCCTCCTCCTGTAGGAGATCTGCCTCAAAAGTTGCTTTGTTTACCATAAAGCCAACATTCTACAACCATTTATTTTGAGAGTTAAAGATGATTGTTGCAGGAATAGAAATTTAATTGGTTACACACAATGGTGAATAGTTGAGTGTATAAGAGTTAAGGTACTATGGAGCAGATAGCCAATGAATGAATTCCTATATTGAACTTTGAGATGACCAAGTCTACTGGATTATAGAATTATGCAGTTGGATGAATTATTATTCTTTCAAGATAGACTTTCCCTTTTCAGCGCAATTTTAGATTGGACATAAGAATTGTAAGGTACTTTCAGTGGTACAGTAGTAACTACAGTAGTACTGTAAGCTTCTCAAAAAAAGATCTTCCTGCTTTTCTTCTCCCACAGTTGTTGTGGATTGTGTAAGTATAAATCCTATCTGTTATGAGCTAGAAATTATTCACTGAATTTATTTATATTTTATGTACAGTAACATCTCCCAATTACGAACCTGCCATTTACAAACTCACAATTTTACAAAGCCAATTTGTGGCGATGACATCATTACGAACAATCTTTTTTAACTTAAAAAACACTTAAAATTGTATGTAAAAGTCTTCAAAAATAATATTAAATGTTACATCAGCTTAGAAATAAAACATGTAAACCAATAATGTGACATAAAACTAAGTTTAAAGCAAGAAATAGCTATCGTTTTTTAGCCAAGATATATTACATTTGAGCTGTGCATGCTTTTTCAGGCATACTGTACAGTAAATCTCACTTTTTGTTCATTAGGGATGCTTCGCATGGATTCGCGATCTTTATAAAGAGAATAGTAACACTACTTTTGGTCATCAGTTGGTCATGTTTTCATTTCACTTTAAATGAACACTACACAGTCAGCACAGGCAATTTTGGCTTCTGTAAAGTATTATTTTGTGTAGAAAACAGTAAAATCCAAGTCAATTTTCGTAATGAAATGTTGCTGCCATGGCAAGGCTTAGGCCTGCCTAACCCTGTACTTTGCAACACAGGCCTAAGTCTACCCTCACCACACTGAGATGCTATGGTAATTTGAACTCTCTGAATTTAATACAAATTTTCTCATTTGTGAACATCTGTTCGGACAGAGGGGCACTGTACGTAATTGGGAGATGTTACTATAAGTTTATTAACTTACAAATAAAAAATTTGAATGAAGTATTTTCTTTAACAATTAACGGACAGTAAAAAATACTGTATTCTTTTGTATAGACTTTGCTGCTAATTTACAGATTTCTGTTGGAAACTGTCTGTAAATTAGCATAATTTCTTTTCAATACAAGTCCTTTTAATGAGCTTTTTAAAATTTTAATTTCAATTTTTGAATATTTTTCCAATTGTTTTGACAGACAGTACTGTATATATTTAACAGGTCTTTTTTTCTAAAATATTTATTGCTGCTTAAAGTTTATTTTTCCAAATTAAGATTTTTACAATTTTATTTAAAATGTTATGTCCTTATTGCAGTTGAGAAGATTCAACTTTTACAGTGCTTTATTTTCAAAAGCTTTTGGTTCAAAAGCTGTTCACCATCCCACACATACACATTCCCCCTTTTTAATTATCAAACCTTGAAACTCATATTTTTTACTCGATCCAGTCACGATCATCCACATTTTAGCCCTAGTCATCAATAACCATGTTCAGAATTGTTAGCCTACTTAAGCTCTATGGATTGTTTCCTCCCCCCTTCCTCTGGTTGTGGGACAAGAGCCATGTGACTCAGTGTCTTCATGTTACTACTGTACAGTATACTGTATACTTATAAATTTATCGTGTTGATAATGCTTGCCCAAGCAATGTCTGCCGTGTCATAACACAAAACCCAGCCCTACTATAAGGAGGCCCCAACTTCCACTTACTCCTACCTAGCACTCACAGGAGAGACTTGACCAGTCTTGTGAGCCATGAAATTACGTAGGGAGATTACCCTCCCCTCTTTGTGAGCAATAATACTTTGCCGACACGCAAGGGCCCTCAATTTTTCTCTTCCCCAGGTCTACTGTATGACTAGTTAGCAACCAACTGTCCTTGTATTTGAACCCTATGTTTACATTAGCCTTGTTTACATGGCCGTTTGCTATCAGATAGGTAACACGGATGATCTCCAGTCGCACGTCTACACAAAAAAAACGACTATCGATTGTACCAGGAAGTCACATGATTAAAACTGAAAAAATGCACGCATTGTTGGTGCTTGTTTTAAAAAACCCTTTGTCAAAAAAATTTTAAAATGTATGTAAGTGATAAAAACATAATTTTTCAAATGATAATAGTGTATTAACACCGCTGCGATGCAGAGGTAACTGCGTAGATCATCGTGGTTACTGATCCATTATGCGGAGTTACTAACTCCGTTTACACAGCCACTTAACACCAATATTAACTGATAAACGTGATCATCACGGTGATCTCCTACCATGTACAGTAAACGAGACTATTACTCCCTTATTAAACAGTGCATGCTACAGCTGTTACAGTATACCCTTGTAAAGTTAACCCAGATTGATGCCTTATTGTGTTTGTCTCTGTTTGTTTTTTTATATAAAGCCAAAAAAAAAAAAAAAAATGTGTTGACTCAAGTCTGAGTCCAAAATCATGCAAATCTAGCATCTGCTATCTTCTAGACCTAATCAACTGCTAATATAGTACAAAGCCTGTAGGCCAATATAGCAAATATCACAACTGTTGCAATGCTACATGCATCCATCGGCATACAGTATGGGATTTATTGCTAGTTCATGAAAAAAACCTTGTTTTCTCGCTTTTGCGACACTGGATCATTAGCACTAATATATTAAATTTTACTCAAAATCTGGTGAAAAATTATTTTCAACACATGTTCAAAATATCAAAGGAAGGGGAGGAATAGAAAGCTTGCACACTTTGCAACGATATCTTTCGGCAACGAAAACATTCATGCCCAGAAATACTTACAGTAGGAAACAAAAATTTCCCAAGATCTCAAAACAATTTTAATAGAAAAGGCCAAAGGCGCTGAGCTGTCAAGCCACGACCAGATCTAGGCCTAGCCTATTCTTTACTACTGTGCAACTAAGTGGTTGCTTGGACAATAAATAAAAACATGCAAAAGTCTAGCCATCGCTTTAAAGCCGGTACATAACTAGACATTTTACGCTTCGTTACGGTTTTAGGCCAACTGTGAACAAAATATTTTCTTTTTTTTTCCACAAAATTTACCTCGATTGTATTACTGTACATAGAGGGCACGTGTTTGGACATTTTTCCAGAGCCGTAGATAGAAAGAGTTGGGCCAACTCGGTTTCACAGGATTCGATGTACGCGCGTGTGATTGGGTGGATCCCAATCGCATGACTTACATGTTGTCACCAAACCAAAACATTAAAGCTATACACGCGTTTGGTAACGACATGGCGTCTATGCGCCAAGTTGGCCAAACTCTCTCTATCTACGGATCTGCATTTTTCATATCCATACAGTAGTATGGATTTGCTCGACCTGTCCGCGCATTATCGTGTGAATCGGATACACAAATTATTTACAAATAAATATTTATTTAAACTGAATTATTTTTGTTAAATTTACTTCAATATACATTTGGTTAGTATTTATTCCATCATTACTTTGAATATTTTTTGTTTGGCAAGCTTGCCATCATACTATTGTGGTTCCTACAAGGCCTTTGGTTTGAGGCCTATCCTATTTCAGGTATTACTAAAAACACTAAAAAAAAAAGTCTGACCGGCCGACTGATGATCTCGATTTTTTCCATTTAAGTGCAACACAACAATTTTTTATTTTGGCCTAATGATGTTTGAATAATTACTTACTTATTTATTAGACACTACTGACAGTCACCCTAAGATTAGCCTTTGAACTTGTAAGTGGTTTTGACATGCTAACATATTAATTCAAACTATATGCACATCTTAACTATAATTCATAACATTAATACAGTATGCAGAGTATCATTGATTGATTTTAGAGTAAGTTGTTGAAATCTGTTAAAATATTCATTCTTTTTCACACCATTACCTAGGAATCGGAAATCGGCAAAAACGAAATCGGTTATGCTAAGGCCATTCTTAAGAGCTTGGGGAAAACCTAATTTACTGATTTAAAAAAAAAATATTTGTGGATTCTATTAATAACATAATAATCTTAGTTATGATTTCATCCCTCTGTTTACTGATTTTGAAGATTATAAATAAAGTCTGTAAATCATTCGCTGTACAGGTTAAATACTTTTTATTTTTTAGTCAAGTAAAAAATGAAATATAATATTCAGAAAATACCTGCGAAGCCCGTCTAAACTAAATACTATGGAAGAGAAATGATTTACCATACTGTACAGTGGGTGTAGCTACTACATACTGGCTTTAAAATATACTTTGGAAACTTCCTGGTTTATTTTTAGATATCCACAATCTACTTGAAGTTTGAACAATATTGATAGTACAGTGTATACAACTTGTTTGTATTTTGTAATCTTTTGTGATTTAAGGTTGATTCTATATCTGCCTGAAGGTATGTATTTTATTTTTATTTTTATTTAAATAGAGGTCTTTCTCTAATTAAAGTTCCCTCCAATTAAAGTCCACCTCCAGTTATAGACACTTTTCATCAGCCCCTGGTGAATAATTGTCTCTATGATGGTTATTTTTTTTAGACAAACAGTGCTATAAGAGCATGGAAACCCAGGCCCCAAAAGTCAATTGGAGGGAGAACTGTATTTGTTTTTTAGCTTTTCTTGTCTTCTCTCCAGTCCGTCCTTCAAGCATTTTTTTTATTTTTTATTTGTTCCTTTCTGCTTATTCCTTCTTGGTTTACATTTAATCTCTACATTTTTCAGTAATTCTAATTGGCTGGTCGAATTGGGGAGCGACAGTGTAGCGATGTTAAGGAAACCAGGTTTTTAGTCTACTGTGAGACTTGCGCTGGTGAAAGGAGGGGGTTTAAAAACTTATTTTATAGGCTTCTTGGTAAATGTATTTTGCAAATAGCCAACCCTATTTTCAATATTTTGGGTCGGTCAAGGTTGTTTTTTATTTTATTTGCCATTGTTAAGTGTATCCATCTCATCTCCCTCCCCTCCTTATTTTCTCCTTATTGCTGCGAAGCAGCCAATTCATATTCATGACAGCAATTTGACCTCTGAAAGGCCATTGTTTTTCAAAAAACAAGGGCCTAAGACTACTGAAAAGCGGAGTTTCCTTCTTTCGTTCTGCCGGGTAAAATCAATTACTTTAGGCGACGTTTGTAGACTAACCTACACGTACCAACGTCCGCATGTGGCGACGTACGAGTATTACTATTCAGTGTTTTTACTATATTTCTAGGTTTCCTATTTCTACGTTTAATCGGCCCATGTCTCAGCCACAATATTTTGAGGCCAATATTATTTACGAACCAAGTTAAACTTATTTACTAGCCTATTTCAGCGTGCTAATTATTACATTTAGGCGACGCTTGTTGTAGACTGGCATACACGGTACCAACGCTCGTTTTTACTATGTTTCTACGTCAGCTCGTCAGTGTTAAGGGGGGTTTTTATGGTTCGGTCATATTATTTGTTATATTTTTATTATTCATTATTTTCACTTGACTCGCATAAATAATTTTGTTCAAAGAACATTTATATGCAGTTGTACTTCGCAGCACTTCACTTGCAATTTGCAATTTCTAGTACTATACCCATAAGTTCTCACTCTCCATTATCTATTCTTTTCACTGTTTACTGTTTTCATAGTATTTTGCCATTTTATCCATAAAGTGCTATTAATAGTCTCAGGAAGAATGAACAAAAATCCCAAAAGAATTAAAGGATATTGTTTAGTCGTTCATTATTACTTAGTACCAGTTTGGAAAGCTATCTTGAAAGTAGGACTTTTATTGGTCTATTTGTTACATGGTCCAGGATTTCCTTGTGTTTATTGGTTTCCTATGTAACCCTACTCAGCAACCAGGAGTCAAAATGATCATCCGCTTAAAGTGCAAACATCAATAACATTTTTCAGAATCATTTCTTACATATCATTTCTTACAGATTGCATTCGTTGTATAGTTGTATAATGGTATCCTACTGTACTTAAAAAAAATATATATTTGGCTTTGTTGGCACTGAACAGAAGAATATGCAGATTGGTTTTGTTACTGGTTGGTTTCCTGTCTTTAAAACAATAATTCTGATTATGAAATATTAGCTACAATACAATATAAATATAAAAATTACTGTACTGTATATACACTTTACAACAGCAATAACAATAACAACAGTAGTAATAATAGTAGTAATAATAATAAAAGAAATAATAATAATAAGTAATAGTAACAATAAATAATTATAGTAACTAATAATAATAAGCTAAAAGTAATAATAATAATAATAGTAGTAGTAACATAAATAGTAATAATAACAATAACAACAACAATAACAATAATAATAATTACTAAATCTTGTATTATGTAAGTGCTCTGCAGTAGAACAATAACAACTTAATGTATGAGCTGTTCGATTATAAAAAATATCGGAAATAAATTTAAGAACATAAAGCCTATGAAGTTTATATACATCAAGAATTTTAAGTTGGTTAAATAGAGGGGGTGAGTGTGCTCTAAAATCTGAAAAACTTATACATCGAGCAATCATTTTTTGGGAATTCAAAATAGGAATTAGGTACGACACAAAAGTACTTCCCCATACCTCAATTCCATAAGTAATATTTGGAAATATGAAGGAATTATAAAGCATAACTAATGTTTTCATGGGAACAAAATGTCTTAATCTAAACAAAATTCCAGCTTTTTTCCTGATTTTTTCATTAATATTTTGAATATGACAAATGACCATGTCCAAGTGCAGACCAATGATCTTTACCAGTACCAAAATATATGGTATTAATTTTTACTTCCTCCTCTGGCAGTGCAACAACAAAGTTGAGTGAGTGATGGTTCTGTCATTTTTAAATTATGCTCTTTATACCACAGTTAGAACCATGGTTGTGATTTGCCCATATTGATGTCTTGTCACACATTAATTATGGCAAATTGTTTTGTTTAAATAATAAACAATGAAATTTTATTGTAGACAAAATTTGACAGACTTACAGTAGCTGTTGTTGAAATGGGTGTTATTATAATTATGTGACAAAAAATCCTGGTGTTCTGACAGGATTCGACCCAATGATCTTGTGATTAGAAGGAAAGCGTCTTGCCACCAATCTTCAGTTTCCATGTGCAGTGATAGTGTTTAATTACTATGGTTTTTTTCTTTCTGTATTAGGTTTTCGTTGACGTTCAGTAGCAGGGGAGCAGTCTCTAATGACCAGTGTTTCATTCTAGGTTTGCTGAATGCTGCAAATAAACAATGGGTTGTATCCACAGCAGTGACAGTAGCCCCAGTACCAAGTACACCCCGCATTTCGATACTTGGAGTATGTATTATACTATCTTATCTGAGATTAATCAGTGGACCTTTTGGTTTTTACACAGTGATGATCTTCACTTTATTTTATTTATTAGAACATATTTGAATATATTTATACAGGAAACATATCAGGAGGGCGCAACAACCTATTTTACCCATGGTCCTGTTTTGTGATACAAAATTGCAGTATATAAAAATATACAAGATCTAAATGTGAAATTCAGATGACATAAAGAAAAGGTCGAAATTTGTAATATAATGTGGTCCTTGATAGGTACTTAACACTGCAGTTAGTAAATAAAATTGAAAAAATGAATTGCTTTTAAATCCTCAATATGTCTACAGAACATTCCATTGTCTCTTACTTCAGACAATGGGCATCTTGAATAACAAAGCGTGTCCTGGTACAGACGTAACAATAGTGCGTTGCCATTACATCCACGCTGTATGCACAATTTCAAAGTCTGTGGTCCAGTCCAATGGGCATACTGTAGATGATTTTCTGGATAAGGATCAATGACTTGTGTTTTCCCCATAATACAAAGAATTATGAGTCAAGTCTAGAGAATGCTGCACTGTTTGTCTACCTTTATACTATACTTGGGTTTAAAACTTAACCAAGCTTTACCATTTCCCCTTATACTTGTTAGTGGGCGGAGTGCAAATTGCAAGGCAAAGCATCATTTTGTCTAATTTGCACAAAGTGACATAAACATAACTTTGCTCATGGGAATTTTCAAACAATGCAGACTTCTCAAGTACTACGGAAATTCCATAGTTAGGCCTACAGTAGTTGTTACAGAAATTTTTCCTAATTTTACGGATGTAAGGAAATAGACAAAAATACAACGGATATTTGTCATAGGCCCATAAATGCATAAGTCTACAGTTCAGAACAAATGACTTTTCCATCAGGGTCTTTGGTTACATTATTCCTAAAACTCATACTTGTTAGATTTCTGTAAAGTATTAAAAAAGAAATTATTGTGAAAACTAAGAAAAGTGGTCCGTAAATCTTCATCACGTACCGATTGTTTGAAATTTTACATCGAATTATGGACAATTGGGCTCAAAGACGATCGGGTCCAGGACAGTTGGGCCCATTTTCAGGACAATGAGACCCAATTTGAAAAAGTGGGCCTGATCGTCCAGAAAAGTGACCCATAAATTTTTATCCTGTCAAGGTTGTTTGAAATTCCACATCGAATCAGACAATTGGGCTCAAAGACGGTCTGGTCCAGGACGATTGGGCCCATTTTCCGGACAATCAGACCCAATTTGAAAAAGTGGGCCTGGTCGTCCAGAAAAGTGACCCATAAATCTTCATCCTGTCCAGGTTGTTTGAAATTTCACGGATGTACCTGCAATTTTGAGCAACTTTATCTTGCACTCAAGGCAAATTATTAGGTGCTACGGAAATTTTTCATTTTATTACGGAAATCTGAAGACATAGTAACGGAAATACATTTTACGAAATTGAGAAGTCTGCAAATAATATTCAATTAATGATGTAGTCTTGTGTATTTTAATGGAAATTAAGAAAATATATTAACTTAAAAAAATTCACAACCTAAAGGATTAACTAGAGCATGTAAACTGCACAATTTCCAATTCACAGTTTAGAATCTGTGGGGAATTTTCTTCCAGAGTTTCGAATCTGCAGAAATTTCTTGCACGGTTTTGAAAATGCAAAAAAACTGACAAACTGCATTTATATTACTGTAGGCCTATAATTAAGGTAATAATTGCTCTAACAAACTACAATGATTTGAGTTACTCTACCATAGCACTACACTTCTTTGAAAATACAACTTGACTAGAATTGTAGAAATTCCTGTGGTGTATGGTCATTCACATACTGGTACACACACACACACACACCCACTAGATGTGAACCGTGCTTAAGTGTCCTTTAACAAGATTCTAAGTCTGTCCACCTCTGAAGGGCTATTACTATTAAATCCATGCCATTCTAGTGTAATTGTAATACCTATTTAAAGATTATATTATTAAAATAGTATTTTCATACAAGAAATAATTGATCCTAGGTAAAAGCAGACCTGTTTGTTTCCTTTGTTTTTTTTTGGTTGGTTAGGTTTCTTTTTATGTTTACAGCTTTGATTTTTTACTTTTGTCTGACCATTTACGTTCATTACTCTGAGATGGCCTCAGTCAGTCAAAACATCAGACTAAAAGCTGTTTTTTACAGCTACATCTAGTGTCAGAGACCAAATGTATTATTACCCTGGTGTGTTACTAATAGCAAAACAGCTTCTAATTGTACATTCACTAATTGTTGCTTTTAATATACTGTAAGATGGATGTTTGAGTTTTGTTCTTCAAAACAGATCATACAATGGCTGTTGGCTTCTATATATTTATCTGTGGTACTACAGGACACAGTAAACATATGTTGTGTGTCACTCTTATGATGATGTCATTCTCACTAAATACACATCTGATGTGTTATATTACATATTAATTGCCAGATTGTTGTGAAATTCTTCCCAAAATCTGTGTCCTGTGTAATGGTTTGTAAACTTGAGAAATGCAGAAAATAAAGGGTCATTTGGCATAGTTTTACATCATAATCTTAAGAGGGAGGAAGTAGTCAAATTAGAATAACCCAGATTTCTTATCAAAATATTTGCATTTTGACAGTGAATATTTAATGACCAGCTTTTAACACAAAAATTATTTGTAATTTATTTATATCCCGGCCAACAGCAAATAGACAAAAGCATTGTTATATTGTTTTTTTAGTTAATATCCAAGTATGTATAAAAATCTGAAATAACACAGAATTATTCAAATGTCTGCATTTACATTTGGCTAGTCATCATACTGTAGTTCAAAGGTCGTGTTATAATATTTACCTCTGTTGAACTTGAGTACCAAATTAAAGTTGTAGATACTTCTCACAGTTTGATTTCCTGGTACAGCTCTGTATTTCCATGATACCTGTTTGAAAAACTGTACTGAAGTTTACATCACATTAATAATAATTTCAAATAAAAACATATACAAGAATTTATGTTGTGAAAAACAATGTTTAACTTGGATGAATCATATGATGTATGAGATTTTCTTTAATGGTATAGTCATGCATTAGTTTTAAGGCTTTGAGTATTTACTACTGTTGAACAATCTAAATATATTTCCTCCATGGTTGAACTTTTGTACCCAATTGAAGTTGTAGAAAATTTACAGTTTGATTTCCTGGTACAGTTCACTTATTTCCATGATACATTATGTATCCTGTATAGAATACTCTACTGAAGTTTACATCATGAAAAATTTCAAATAATAAAAACATTTACAAGAACTTATGTTGTGAAAAACAATGTTTAACTTGGATGAATCATACGATGTAATGAGATTTTTTTATTTTTTTTGGTATAGACTCAATGAATCATAAAACAGGAATGAATTAGTACTGTGGTTATCTGTCTATAGTATTATTCTAAAATTTATTTTGTTTTAAGGAATATCTCTTCCCAAATAATATTTTCTATTTTTCCTCTACTGTGTAGGCCTAAATGTAGTTACAGTTACTGTATTCTGGCTATTACAGAGTGATTTCTATTTCTCCCATTTCCCATTATTACATTATTACTGTCATTCTTTACTTCTTTAACTTTTTTTAACCCTTACCTGAGGTCAGCAATGATAATTTCAATACTATATAAATGTTAAACATTCTCTGCCTTGTTTGCCAATGCAGCTAACTGTGGTAGAGCTCACACCCTAGGCAGCGGGTTAGACCGACTCACCTTAGCTGCAATACAACATGAAAATAAGTGCAAAAAAGACAGTAAGTTTGATGGATGTTGCATGTGGACATAGCATCATGTTTAGTCTGGTTTTTTTTTTTTTACCCTTATATAGAAAGCTTAATATAGAAAGCTTGAAACCTGTTTGATGATGATGGAATCCGAGAACAAAATTCACACACATTTTAATAGCAGTAATGTGTAGTTTACATGTTTGATGGTGTAATTAGTATGCACAAAGCCTACTATAATCAAGTTTACTGTAAACAATGCACGCACATACTGTAAACCACATGTTTTCTACATAGGTCTACAGTGTGTTTGTAAACTACACATGTAATTACTGTCAGTGGCGTATCCAATGGGGGCTTGGGGACGCACGCCCCGCCCCCCTCACAAAAAGCTCG